TTGTATTAGACTAAGCTAAAAAAAATTGAATTTAGACTATCACAACTATTCCGAAAAGATTTTTTTTTATATTTGATCAATTTTACATTCACAACGCTAAAGCACAACAATAAAGAAAAATACATTTTCTAAAAAATCAGATCAAAGTACCTAGGGCAAGTGAATTTAAAGCATTTTTCAACATTTCTTATTTTTTAGTATTTCTCATTAAGAAAATGTATTTTTCTTTACTGTTTCATTTAATATAAAAATAATCGAAACATTTTATTATAATACTTATCAAGTTTTAGAAAGCTCTTGTAAATTTTTGTCACAAGCTCTCCGTCTATATGAATTTTAAAGGATAGCTAGCTAACAGTCTTCCCTGTGACTCGGTTACGGCTGTCTTCGTGATACTCCCACGTAAAGGTGCACTGTAGGGCATAGCTGTAGGGTTTTAGTAGGTAAGCCTCTGTGGGTCCATAGAGCGAATGAATACCCGCTAGATGGACCCATAGGGGGGAGTCTTACATAACCTCTCCCCTCCAGACGGCGGGGAATGCTTAAATCAGTTTCCCTAGAATAAAAATAAATAGGTAACAGTCAAGAAATTCTTGGATAATAGTTTTTCGGTCAGTTGCACAAACATCCATTAAGATTTAATGATACCTTTAAGCTGTAATGAATGTCAGAATTTGTATGGTTAATGTCGCTTTAAATTAATGACAATTTTAATGAACGTTTGTGCAACTGACCGTTTATCGTTAAATGGTTGAATAGACTACTAGCCGCTAGATGGCGTATCAAGCTTTTATACAGAGTTCCATAAAAGTAGAATCCATATAGAATACCGTTACCTCCGCCATCTGTTGAGTAGTAGTCGAACTAAATGAAGCCATTCCGAGTAAGATTAACGCCATCTAGTATCATCTAAGGCAGCTAAACTAGCCGAATTTTTTTTACACGCATTATCACGTAATCTTTATAGACTCAGTAGGTAACGTTTTCGATAACGCATCTATTGTATTTGAAAATTATAGAGTTGTTTATGCCATTTCAGTATTGTGTTCAATTTATTACGTACATACGTATTAACGCGTTCGTACCTTGTAGTTGTGCCGAATAGAAGAAACTTCGCCGACAGTTATTTTCGTGAGATTCACGAATGGCAATCGTTGCTGTCTACATAACCTATCGTTACTACCATTTTTATCAAATTACCAGCTTTCCGCCAGCGGCTTCGCCCGCGTGGTCTCGTATTATACATAAAAATCTTCCTTTTGAATCACCCTATCTATGAAAAAAAACCTCATCAAAATCCGTTGCGTACTTTTAAATATTAAGCATACATAGGCATATAGGGACAGAGAAAGCGACTTTGTTTTATACTATGTAGTGATCTTGTTTATTAAAATACCACCTACTCTCAGTACTGCCTATCTGTAGAGACGTAATCACAACAAAAGCCATGATCAAGTTCATATTTTAGTTTCAATAATTATCTACTTACAAAATTGTTGATTAAGTATGCCCACTACTAATTAGTTCATCAACATCTTAGCATTAGTACTAATCACTTCGACACTGATTAAAATCGCTTTGATAGCCCTACAACTAAGTATAAACTATTAAAAACATTCCTGATTACCACAATTACTTTTAACTTGTAGGAAAACCAGCTGGGGCGGTATTTTTCTTTGCTGTTAAAAATCAGTCACCCTCCACTCTAGATCCACAACTATCTCCACACAACAAAAATAATTCGTACCATAACCCAATTATAATTCTTATTAGTCGGGCCATCTGTACCCACGGTGCAGGGGGTATGGCGCCGCGGCGGCGGCGATGGTCTCATCTTGTGGCACCTACTCATCGATGACTTCGTATTGCCAGTGGCGTAGCGTGGGTGTCGGCCACCCGGAGCGGAAGACAAATTAGGTATTTCATAGCTATTTTATATAATTTTACAATATATTATATTCATTAATTTTAAAGAACTTTTCGGCAAGAACTGTCACCTTTATTTTGCATTACAATAAGAACAGGTTAGATTTAGTGTGGTCGAGTTGTCGCCATGCAACTGCCCACGGATCGAGTGTTGTGGGTTCGATCCCCACAAAGGACAATTCTTCGTGTGCTTTACAAATTATTAATTTTAATTCTTTAATTCTTAGTCTGGGTGTACTTTGTCCCATTCATGCTGGACTTGTATTCTAAAAACGGGCTTGTCTTTATAAAAATAAAGATTTAAAATAATAAAAATAAATAAACAAATGAAAATCCATGAATAAAATTTTATTTGAATTGTCAAAGCATTACGTACTTTCTTAAAGGGATGTAATAAAACCTAATAGAAGTTATTCTTGCTGTTTATGTCTTAAACAATCCAAGCATAAAATAAAATACGGGGAATCCCCGTAAGTCAGTATAAATGGTCGTTTTCATTCGGTTCGAATTTATAGTTGCGTTAAAAGTAAGAATTGGTTCAGATATTTAAAAAAATATTTTTTTTTATTGTTTACTGTAAAATTTTGCCCCTGCCCCCACTACGCTACGCCACTGGGTATTGCGCCCCAAACTTGAAATTTTATTTCAATCATTTTTATATTTTTCAACCGTTGACGTTGAACAACGAGTCTTGAAATATCTATAAATTTTTGTCTTTTTTTTATTTAAATATATGTAAAAAACGATTTCAAAATTTTTGCCCCGTGAAGGGGGGAGAGGGCCCTCGGTTATGTAGACAGCAACTATTGCCATTCGTGAATCTCACGAAAAAAACTGTTGCCGAAGTTACTGTTTTGATCTTTCGACTCTCTTTTGTTTTAGTGCCTGATTTAAGGTATGTCCTGTGTACACACACATTCGGCTAATCCCTAGACTTTCTCACTCCATTTTCAAAACAAATAATTTCTAACTATATTTTTTTTATTACTACTAATAATTTTTTTATCGTAGATCGTAGATGTTCGAAATTGAAATTAATGTTTTTTTTTAATGTATGTAAACAGCCAGTAACAGAATTTATGGCTAGACTGTGTAGTGTAAGTGGCTTTTATTTATTTTTTTACGTCGAGCAAATGCAATGCATTGCACTACCCTACCGCCCGGCAAGCGACAGGGGGTGTGTGGGACTCTCCTACGTGAGCCCACCCCGTGGCAGCCGCGCGGTGGGCTCCCGAAGGCCTACCCACAAAAGCCCCTGCGGTGTACCCTCCCCCGGGGATGAGACCCGGGAAGCCGTGACCGAGTCGCCGGGACGCTCACCCCCGTGTAGTGTAAGTGCCTATGTCAGTAATTTCAAGGTAAAAATTAACAAATAATGAACACACACACACACATTACATTGTTATAGAATAGTTTATTGCACAACAAAACAAATATGGGACAAACACAATTATTGTACGACAGGAGACAAGTGTTCACAAAAGTTATTAGAGATTTATCAAACATTGGAAAAATACTTCACAAACTCGGAACTGTCGCCTCGTTAAATATATTTTTATTTTTTAACTATTATACCTAGATATAAACTGACATTCATTGTGCTTTCATCAGCTTTATTTATCATTTTATCCGATATCGGACTTTATTTCGAACTAAATAAGATTCAGCAATCCGTTTGGGGACAAAACATTTAAACATTTCAACTACGTACTACAATGAGATAGAGGCATTCACCTCGGACGTTAATTAGCCGAAAAAGAGCATTACAATCTAAAAAAAAATATCTTTCATAATGTAGACACCACGCTATCGACCACACGGTTCGATTCCGATTATCAATCCTCCGTAAAAACTTATCGATTTATAATTACTTCAATAGAAACAAAAATGCAACATGTCCAGCGTTTTGTATTGTATTAGGTACAAGTTTATTGCGAGTATTACACAAAACGGGACCGAACAGTAACAATGAATTAATTTAGAACCGTTTCCGTATTTACGCTACTGAAACAAAGACATATATTTACATTTTTTGAGCAAATAAATCAAAACAAATCAGCGTTAAACGAAATTAAACCTGCTACTTGAAAAAATAGGTTGAATAGTTGAGAAAACATTTTAGTACGAGTAACGAATAAAGCAACACACGTCACTCACTCGTTACTCGTAGAGCACAATCGACTACTAATGTACCTAAAGCCCTTGTGTTACGCAAATCTGAACGAAGGAATCACAAGCATCCAGACTCGAGTCAAAATAGAAAAGATATTTACTACGTTGACCCGACCGGGAATCGAACCCGGTACCTTAGAAAAAGCGACGCTTTGTGTAAATCACTCTACCACAAAGATCACCAATAATATATAAACAATACAATTTAGAAAAAAAAATAGATTATTAGCATCAAAAAAATAAATAAATTATAGATATATAAGAGTTCACAAAAAAATATATTTATGGCATAATGCAAAAAAATTTACTCAACTATAATTTGTATGTATCAATTTTGATACCAGACTAATTTTAATATTAAAAGTCATTCACGCATATTTTTTCCTACGTAGGTTGAGGGGGGGGGGTTGGGGTTGGACAGGGAATAGACCTAGCGGATTTGAACAGTTACCGCTGCACCGCTGCTGCTGTGTATAATTTATTTATTTAATATGGACATACAATTTTGACCGAACTACACTCGGGAAGTTTGTTCAATCGTCAATTATGATTGTTTTTATGTCCTCACCCATTACTCAAACGAATACTAAAGTGGTGAATTATTATAAGTTTATGTAATAATTAATGTGATATAGAAAAGGCACGGGATTTGCCTCGGTAATCGACGTTTAGGTATTGATAAAGTTTAGTTTGAGGAAGTCAACTATTTTATAGTTACGATACGTTTAAAAATATACAAATTTGTAAAGATTTTTTTTTTTAGTAAATTTTTGCTTTCATGCACTGCGAGTACAGTTTAAGATCAAATACGGGGGACCCGATATCGCGCTGCACAATACATAGCGTTATATAATCACGTCACTGTTCAGAATGATGGGGAATGTAATGTTGACCTACGCTAGCTACTGGGGCGCCCGGGGCGCCTGGGGCGGCGGTTGCGGCGGCGGCGGGCCGGCGCCGGAGGGCCGGTGCGCGGGCAGCGCCTCGTAGCGCGGCGGGGACGCCCACGGGTCGTAGCCCAGCACGGACAGCATCGGCGCCAGCTCCGCCATGTCCGCGCGCACGTCGGCCGGCACCTGCCCCACCCACTTGTCCAGCGCGTCGCGGTTCACGGGCCGCACCACCTGGTCCGACGACCGCTCCACGCTGAAACAGGATCGCGCGTTCAGCGGCCGCCTCCCCTCGCCTGCCCCGCTCCACCCTCCACCCACGCCGCGGTACTCACTTGGACAGCGCGACGCCGTTGGGCCGGTTGATGTAGCGCTCGTGGTGCAGCACCGCGTCGTCCCAGCGCAGCTCCAGGAAGGCGAGCACGCGCCGCAGCGTCTCCTCCGGCCGCAGCACGAGCGCCTCGTACCGCACCAGCAGGCACTTGTCCGGGCCCATCGTCTTGCACTGCTGGTACATCAGCTCCACCGCGCGGTTCCACTTGGTCATGCACTGTCTGTAGCTCGTCAGGTCGAAGCCCGTGATCGTCACCTGCGGCCGAAAGCTTCGGGTCAACGCGGGCCCGCCCGAGCGGCGTCCGGCCGGCGGCCGACGCGCCTCACCTTGCGGGAGATGATCGAGTGGACGGTGGCGCGCCCGTCGCGCACCATGAACAGGAACTTGGAGTTCGGGAACAGCTCGAGGACGTAGGTCCCCATTTTGATGACCAGAGGGTCCTTGTTGCAGAGGCGCGGCGCGGGCTCGCCGTGGCGCACTATGACCTCGAGGCAGAACGCGGCGATGGCGTTATCGAGCACCGCCTTGGAGACGCCGGCCTGTTCGAGGCGCACGCTCTCCTTCTGCGACCGCGTCCAGTGCTGGCGCATCTGCAGGATCCGCGGCACGACGCGCGTCTCCTGGCCGCAGCGCACGTCCGGGTGCGCGTCCAGCATCGCGCGCATGAGCGTGGTGCCGGAGCGGGGCACGCCGCCGATGAAGATGAGCGGCAGCTCGCGGCCCGGCACCGGCTCCACGCGCCCCCCGCCCGCGCCCGCGCCCCCGCCCCCGCCCCCGCGCCCGCTCCACGCCCACACCAGCAGCGCGGCCGCCGCGAGCGCGACGCCCAGCCGCCAGCGCGGCCCCCGCCACATCGCGCTGCTCGCCCGTCGCACCTGTAACGCGTTCATCGGGTTGGACGGACTTCCCGCATAGTTACCGTCGACAAAAAGTTCATCGTGACAACTCATATCAAAATATAAATATACTTAATAAATATATTCCAATATTAACATTCAGTTATACTCGTATTTATACTATTAGATAAATTTTGCATTCACGATGCGATATTGCCATACAACGAAACCCAAAATATTGTATTTTGTACTTTCAAATAACTTAAGATTTTTTTATACAGTCGAGAAGAAGTGACAATCAAACTTGTATTAAGCAAATAATGTGAACCTAATTTCTCACTTCACGATTTGCCTTCGTATTGTGACATGTCGAGCGACGCGCACGTTAGGAAGGCTCTACGATTCAATTTATTAACATCAGTTAGGAAGGTTTGTTAAAAGGGATCAGGTGGTCCGTCTGCCGCGCGGGAAGGCTCCCGATCGTACTCTAGGAACACGATCTTTCATAAAAATCTACATAATATTCGATATTAGTACCATAGTTGTTGAAGACTGGTTTTCCAAATCAACTATCGATATCGATACTATGCACTGCTACATACAATACAAACAAATGTACCTACGATCACTCTGTTACAGTTCCAGTATAAAAACTACATATATTTCACCAAGATTACAAGGTTTTGAGTTTACATGTGTTGAACCTGTTTGTATAAGATCCAACGACGATTCGAAGACCGTAAATGAAATAAAGATGATACGGAATATGGCACCTTAACTAAAGCAGGTTATATACTTGTACGTACGTACCTTGATAAAAAATATGTTTTTTATTACACTATTATATTTGCGACGTTATAAAGTATGCTTCATTTATACTGTAGTGTAGAACTGAATTAACCCAAACAATGTACAATACACACACAGTACGTAGGCAACAAGCGTTTGGTTTTTTTTACGTCACGTTGTGTAATCGAAGGCCTTGTTCGACATTGTATTAATTAATTAATATACCTATATTGAAAACTATAATATAATTATTTAAATATTAGTAAATAAACAAATCGCAATAAATTGATTTATCAAAATAAAAATCAATTTAATTAATGTATAGATAGATAATTTATTTTCATCTACTACTACTACGACTAGAAGCTGCGACACCACACGCCAAGCACAAGAACAATTATTACTGGAGAATGGTGTTAATGTAGAATGCATGTTAGTCACTCGTACATTTACATGACTTACGGTGATTTAAGTTGTTGTTGCTAAGATCCTGTAACAATGGATCACCAGTAAATATATGATCGCATGGGCAGGAAAATTAATGTCATTAATTAAGGATCTGTTATGTGACCTTATCCTAATTAATAATTGTTTTAACATTTAAAAACTCAAGTTGTGTATAGGTATGTATTTATTACAATTAAATAATCAAACTATTCTAGAATGTACAAACGTATGACATCGCCAGTATTTGGTTAGCTGTTACTGTGCTTTTAAAAATTATATTATACTCTACACTCGGGGTTCGCAAATATCCTATATTTATAATATCATATATTTAATAGTTATCCGATATAATATATATATATATCATGACTTTATGTAATATTTGATTTTTTAAATCAAAAGTGTCAATAATATGTCAATAGAAATGAAATAACAAACTTTCCTCTAATATTTACACATTTTTGACATTACGATGGAATACGGATGGGGACCGGGTCCCAATATAGGGCTGGGTGCTCGGAACCCTTAATTGCTGGTCTCATCTTCAGAGAAAGGGTGTACTGTGGAGTTTTTAGTGAATATGCCTTCAATGGCTCATCAAGTAAACTTGACCATCTTGACCCGAGTCTATAAGTGTGAAATTGGCTACCGAAAACTGCGTGGGTGTAGGCAACCAGGCCCCTGTTGTGGTTAATCCTACTGGAAACACTAAGAAATTCGTACAACAGCCATTCCATCCCAGCCTCTTCACTCGAACACGATCTTCATCACTTGGGAGCGATACAGTGATCAGTGTCCTCCCAAAAGATTCTTCTATCTTGGTCACTGAGATTATAAAGGATAAAGAGCAAGAAAACTGCCCACCCCCTTAGCGAAGAATACCAATGGATCGAAATCCAAAAAGAAAAAAGATGTCAAAATACTGGTTACAAATATCAACACGTCAAACGGATACAGTGGACTACCTCTTGATCTGACAGACGAAACAGTAAAGGGTTTCCTCAAGAAAATAAGGAACCCTTCCTACCCTCTAATCATGCTATATGCTGTAGAAGATTTATCAAAACTGACAGAGTTATTAAATAAAGCTGTACCTAATGATAGCTATTCTCATAAAATCATAAACAGAGATCAACTTAGAATAACGACATACGAGACAGATATTTCTTCATCACACGAAAGAGAAGAAATAGAAAAAACGGAAAATAAAGTTAGAGGTGCAATTATCTATGCAAAATCCCAGAAAAACAAGATGCCACTCAATATGTTTTTTGTAAACTTGGAACCTAATTTTAATAACACTAAAGTTAACTGTGAAATTCCTTTATTGATATGATATTCCTCAATGCGCAAGATGTCAACAATATGGTCACACAAAAAAACATTGAATGCGTCCATTTAGATGTGTGAAGGCACATAGAACAACGGACTGGCCAAAAAAAAAGAAACAACCCTGCTACTTGTGCGCTTTGTTTGCAGGATCATCCAGCTAATTACAAAGGCTGCATAGTTTATAAGGAGATTCGAACAAAAAAGAATGCGTAAAATAGCATTAGATATGATAGATGAAAGAGTAATGAGAATCAAAGGATGCAATATTTATTACTGCAACCATCCAGATGGAACCTCCTACGCTGGAGCTGCTATTGTGATAAAAGACAATATTCTTGCTAATGCTCTTCCAAGCTACAAATACGCATACTTGTAACCTGCAGTGTTGTCAGTTGATCAATGGCAGGGGATGCATAATGTGGCAGCTATTTATTGTCCTCTTCGTCATCGTATTGATGAGAGAATTTTTGAATGCTTCTTTAAAACCTTTGGTAATAAATATATAGCAGGCGGAGACAGAACGCCAAAAATACCGTATGGGGCTCACGAGTGACTACAACTAGGGGACGAGAGTAAACAAAAAAAACACTAGAACAAAATCCTCTCAACGTATCTGAAGAACCAACTTACTGGCCAATGGACCCAAATAAGTTACCTCCTCGACTTCTTTGTGACCGGGGTAATTTCAGAACTGTATACTAAAGTAGAATCATTTTCGGATGGTTCTTCTGAATACACCCCTGTCATATACACCATAAGTACTAAAGTAATTTACAAAAAACCACGAGAAAGCCTCCACAACCGCAAGACTGATTGGGAATCATTTCATTATAAGAATGAGAAAATTTATCTTAAAACTGAAGATAAGGCTGAAGATGCTGCTTGCGGTGTCACCAATTTGAATCAGACAGTTGCATGGTTGTCTACTCCATATAAATAGAATCTTCTCCTCAAAACAACAATTATTTTCAGAGATCCGTTTTTTTTTCTATGGTATAGGGGGCAGACGAGCAGACGGATCACCTGATGGTAAGTGATTACCGTCGCCCATGGACACCTGCAACAGCGGAGGGGCTACAAGCGCGCTGCCGGCCTTAGGGAAGGGTTGAGGGGTAGAGGGAAGAGAATAGGGAGGGGTTGGGCCTCCGGTACCCTCACTGACACGACGAAACACAACGCAAGCGTTGCTTCACGTTGGTAAAGTTTGCCATTGACATCTTAACTTTCTTTTTTTTTAGCAAAAAAAAGAAAGTTAAGATGTCAATGGTAAAGTTATAGAATATGTGAACGTTAGGCGATATTTTAATAAGACCCAAATAGAACTGAAGGATATGCTCAAGGAGAATGAAAATCTTACTCTACAAGATCGGCTCAAGTCACTTTCGCAGTACAAAACTAAGGACTACTCATTGTGGGAGATGACAAAAACATTTAAAAGACCTAAGCAGCATGTACCGCTATTGAAACATCCAAATGGTGGATGGGCTAGAAACTGGACAGAAAAAGCAAAATTATTTGCTAACTTTATGGAGGAAGTCTTTCAACCCAATTAACCTAACTCGTCATATTCAGAGGCGTTTGTTGACGTCATTACGAACTGGTCACGCCTAAAGAAGTATGGAAACATATCCAAAGGCAAAAAAAGCACCTGGATTTGATTTGACCACTGCGGAGGTTTTAAAACAATTACTGTACGTTATTAAGCAGGGGTTGGCGACTCACCGCAAGCGATCCTTTACCGCCACGGGTTCCGAGGACTAGGTTTTGGAACGAGGTGCATCGACGCGGTTACCAGCAAAGATATCATACACGGTATCAAATAAATAAATAAATATAGTCCATAGGCACTGATCTATCGTTCTTCCGAAATGTCCTTATTCTCGATAACGAACAATTCACTAAGCTCAAATGCGCGCCGTTAGGAATTTGAACTCACAGTAAAAAAACGTCACCCAAGGATTAAGGGTGGGGATTTGGAACGAAGACAGCTAATCGCCCTACCAGTACATAATAAAAAAATTACCCACAGTTATGTTGTCTTTTATAGTTAACAAATCACCTGTTTCGTTACGGAACAATTAATTCAACGCTTTGATTGCAATATTTCCCACTAATTTGAAAAGTTAATATCCAAAACATGGTTCTGAAACCGGGCAAACCTACATATCTTGGAAGCATCTCTATACAGACCTATTAGTTTACTACCAGTACTGTCTAAATTATTTGAAGGACTTTTGTTGAAGCGTCTTCGACCAATACTTACGAATGGAAATGTATTGCCAGATCATCAATTTGGTTTCCAAGAACACCATGGTGCCACAGCACAA